TCACCCTAGTACCTTGATGATCATTAGGCGATAGACACAAGCCTATAGTGTGTCTCTTGCAATCTCGCTCTCCTTGAGAGTGTCTTGCATTATTAATGATAACTCCTCATAACTTCTTAACCTACACTTAACTCTTCAAGTTAAAATATCGATCTTGAGTTAAATATCCCTTCGTTGATACATTAATTAAAATCATAATATATAATCAAAATACATTAAAAAAAAATAAAACACATTTATCTCTAATAATTATTATAACAAATAATTTCACAAACCTTTCTTTATTTAATAAAAATAGTCATAATTATTTAGAAAGCCTTTAATTTATTTTATAAAGTTTTCTTTATTAATTAAAATGTCATTTAATAATTTAAAAAAAATTAGGGTGTTACATTTTCATTATCAATAATAGTGTTTCTCTCTAGCACAACATACTCAATTTACCTAAAGCTTGGCAATCATATAAAATCAACTACTTTTGTGTCTAAAATTTTTGAAGTGGGCTAGGAAAAATTGCAGTGAAAACATTGTAAGATATTAAATTTTGAAAAATTCATATTGGGGTAAAGAGTTTTTTAATGTTGAACTAGTTGGTGTAGATGAGAACTATGTACCTTTGTATGAAACTTACTTTCATCACTAGTTTATTAGAAAATGCTTTGCAAACATTTACATGTTACACAAAATTCAATAATATCATGATCTTTGCCATAGAATCATTTATCAAAGAAATGAAGGTACATGTCAAGGATATATCCTTCCAAATTATTGGGTTTTAAGTGAGGAGTCATAAGGAACATTTTCAAATCTTCTAGATCATTTGGTGATAGAATTAAGTAATCCTAAAAAAATTCCAAATTGATTTAAGGAAAAATGGTTGTTCAACATCATATTTATTGATACATGTGGTGTATTACATATAAAATGTTGCACAAAATGTAGATGTAAACTTCTTAATCCCATAAAGGACTTTTATAATGTCATAGTGGGCATTGATGGCAACTCATTGTCCCTAAATTATAAAGGATGAATTTTTTGTCGTCAAGATAATTTACAATGCAAATTAAGAAAGGGTTTTGATGGCCCAAAGAGAAGGTTTCCCCAAGATTCAAAATAAGGTGAGTTGATTGGAATGAACACTAAGTGTTAATATATACTTAATGCAACTAATCAGGTGAATTAAACGGTTCTACAATAATTCATGATTGTTGGGCAGATAAATTACTCAATATACACTTTTTCATAAATGATAATTAAAAAACGCATTTTAATGACCATTAATATCCAGTGTTTTAAAAATCAGATCGAACTGGCCGGTCGGACTGGTTGAACCAGGAACCGGTGGTCCAGCCGATCCGAACCTTAAGTTAGATCGGTTATGCATTTGACCCATTTCAAACTGGATTGAATCGGTCAATTTTCCGGTCCGACCAGTGAACCAGTGGGTCAAACCGGTTCAACCACAAAATTTTTTATTTTTTTTAAGGGACCACAAATCACAAAAATAACAATGAGAATTGAATTTTTTAATGGTAGAACAAAGAGTTTTATTAAACATAACAATGACTACTTGTTCTAATATATTTATTTGTAATATATGCAACTTAAATAACTTTTATAGCATATTATTAATTTTAAATTATATATTTAATAATATAATATCTATGTAGATATTACATATTTTATTTTGTGATATCAATTACAAGCATATTATATATGTACATATTATTTATATTTTTAATTTTTATTAATATACAATTTAACATGTAATTTTTTTTTATGAACTTCTTTATACAAAATAAAAATGAAGATAATTTTAAATAAGATGAAAATTAAATTTAAAATAGGATATGAATTTATTAAAATTTATAAGTATAAAATATATTTAACATAAATATTTTTTTAAAAAATTAATAAAAACCTAGTCATACGATTCAATTAGTGACCTACCGATTCAACCTTTAACTTACTGACCCAATACCCTAACCGGTTCGATGACCGATACGATTTTTAAAACTATGCTAATATCAATCAGTGGGAAATCAGTCACTAAACTACTTAACAACCGAATATAAGTAGTTGCGAAAATTTAAGTTGCAAAACCGATTTACAACCAATTTTAATGTTGTTGTATAGCAACAAAAAAGTTAATTACTTTAATTGTTGGGACCCACAAATTTCATCTCTGATATAATAAAATTAAAAAATAAATTTATGTTACTTATTACCTAATTTGGTTGCTATTTGGATTATTTTTTTTTATAAAGTATCGAATGTGTTTTATATTTCTAATTAAGATAATTGATGTATTTGTTATTATTAATGTTTTCATAAGGCAGACGAGATTTGTGAAACAATAGAATAGAAAAGTATTGATATTATTTAATTTGTGAGTAATAATAGTAAGAGAGAGGGAGAATGATAATTATTTATTATTTTAATTATCTATATTCTATAATATATATATATATATATATATATATATATATATATATATAATCACGATTGTGTGATTTAATACATATTTTTTGGAAAATTTTATTTTTATAACAATTTCTAAACCATTTTCTCTTACTAACTTTCTTCTACTATTTTCTTATTTAATTTATATTTTCTCTTACCTTTTTTAGTAATCACCTTGATCTCTACTTTTTTTTATCATGATATTCTTTTATTTTAAAAAATTAAAAAAATTATTTTTTAATTAAATTTAAAAA